GCAGAGTCACTGGCCCTCATGTGGGATCTGAACCGGGGCCCTGCTGTTCAGAGCTGGCATGCCAAGCCAACTCTTAACCAATGTGCCACTCGGCCATCCCCCAACTTGTACTTCTTAATCTCTTCCTCTTTTTCACTCACCCCCAAACTCCCTCCCATCTGGCAACCATCAAAATGTTCTCTGTATCTATCAGTTTGTTTTGTTTTGTTTGCTTATTTTGTTCTTTAGATTCCACATATAAGTGACACCACATTGCATCTGTCTTTCTCTGTCTGACACTCCACTCAGCACAGTACCTTCCAGGTCTATCCATGCCGCTGCTGATAGCAAGAATCCATTTCCTTCCATGGCCAAGCAATATTCCAAATATACAGAAGTTGCCAAAAAAATGTATACAAGGCAACGCAGTGGCTCAGTTAGAGCGTGTGCTCTGAACGGCAAGTTTGCCGGTTCAATCCCCACATGGGCCACTTAGAGCTATGCCTTCTTTATGGAAAAAAAAAGTATACACATTTTAAGAAAGGAAAACTGTATTAAAATTGTAATATTCAATATATACCAATAACAAAAGATGAATACAAGTCACGTGTGACTTCTGTAATTACAAGAGGTGTTCAAAGTGGTTACCATCAGTGTCCAGACACTTCTGATTATGGTGAACTACTGCTTGAGCAACAGTGATCAAAGTGTCCACTTGTGTACATTTTTTTGGCACCCCCAGTATGTACTACTTCCTCTTTATCCATTCATCCATTGACAGACACCCAGGCTGCCTCTACATATTGGCCATTATAAACAATGCTGCAATGAACATATGGATGCACAAGTCCCCTTGAAGTTTTAGGTTTCTTCGGATAAATACCCACAGTGGGATTACTAGGTCCTTCTTTGTCTCTTGTTATAGNCATTCCTTAGCTTCCATACTAAATACCAGTAAATCCTCCTAATCATTGTTACAACCTAAAAATGCTTCCACAAATTTCCAAGGGCCCCATATGTGAGGTAGTAATTATCCTCGAGAACTACTGGGATAAAGTGATGAACAGAAGGAATTTGCTGACAGACCTTGAGGAGGGGAGATAATGAAATAAAAGTCATATTGAAGAATATTCTGACAGTTGCTTTCTGTGTGAAGTCTAGGTAAAGAAAAAAGAAGCAACTTCCTTTTATTTGTTTGTTTGTAGCAGCCATAGTTCATAAAGCATTTTCACATGTAATCTACCTCACAGCAACTATGAATTTACTATCTTTACCATTTAACAGCTGGCGCAGAGACAGCTCAGAATTGTTAAGTGATTTACTAAAAGTCATTTTAATGAAAGAGCTAGAGTTGGAATCCAGATATGGTTTCAAACCCAATGTTCCTTTCATTATATCATAGCAATGCTAGGGTGATGAAGGCAGAAAAAAATTTCAGAGGAAAAATCTGAGACCCACAATAAAGCTAGAATTAGCAGGACTTTGGACAGCTTAATAGTGATTGTCACTAACATTCTGGCAAGAAAAATGACCAAAGCTCATTTTCAAACTGAGAATTTATTAATATATTCCCCTTCTTATTTTTATAGGATGTTAGTATGCAGCTCAGTGATATAATGCAAAGTGTGCAGCGGATAATCACTCGCTACACTGTTGATGAGACCCTGCACTCTAGAAGGAAAATCTCCTTTACAGAATATAAGAGACGGAGAATGAATTTACTGGAGAAAATAACTGCTCATGCTAATTCAACTGAAATTAAAGAAAATACTCTTGTCCATATCCTGGCATGGTTGGAAGAATGGAGTAAGTTTTCAAAAGTGGTTCAAAGGAAAACCACAAAGTTAATGAAAAAGCTGGAGAACAGAATCTATAAGTAAATTTTGAAGGATTAGAAGACTAAAGAGGAAAAGGCTAAGGAGTTTATTCAGAGAACAGTTGTCCTCTGTTCTATTGAGACTAAAATAAGAAAAATATAGGTTTGCTCACTTCCGGCCTCCTTGCTTTTCTTCAAGCATGCCAGCATGCTTGCCCAGTGTCTGTATGCTTACTCTTCCCTTGCCTGGAACATTTTTCAGCAGGTACCCGCATGGTTCATTCTCTGCTTATATCTCACTTTAAATTGAGGTGTTCTCTGGCCATCCCCATTCCCTACCCCTTGGCACTATCCATTTTACTCTTTCTTTATTTTTGTCTACTCATGTACCATTTCTTACCATCTGACATACTATATAATTCATTTTTTTTGGTCTGTCTCCTTTCACTACAGTGTAAAGAGTATGAAGTCAAGGAATTTGTTATATTCAATGTTGTATCCTCAACTTCTAAAACAGTATGTGATAGAGGAGATGTTGGTTGAATGAAAGAATAAGCTAAGAACACAAAAAAGAAGGGAGTTATAAAATACTAGATAACTTACCAAAGGAGTTAATTGGGGTTTAGATCCCAAATATTAAAACACTTGTTCACATTTTAGATACCTACTTCCCTGGAGCCAGGGAACTAAACCAAATAGACACCTTTTCACCTGATTCACACTTTTGTGTCCAAGACTTACTGTTCAGCCTTCTATTCCAAGTCTCATCCTTTTTCATTTCTTCATAGAGAAAAGCCTCAGAATAGCAGTGTGAGATACCTGTATTTCCAACTACAACATTGAGTAGTTAGCCAATATTATAAGCCCATACAGTTATAATTATTTATTTTTCTGCATAAAAGTAATTTTTTTTTACTCTCTTCAAGATGGCATTTTGTCTGAGATGACTGCAGTTGATGTCGATGAACACCACCGCTGGATAGCACAATTGGAGATTTTACCAGAAACGTTCAGAGCCATTGAGAGCAATGTCAACATACTGATTAGAATTAGTAGCTCTTTGCTCCAAGAAAAGAAGAAACAAAAGAAAAAAATAAGTAAGGGTGCTTTAAGACATTGGAAATAGATTTCACTTTTTCTGAAAAACAGCTTTAGTGAGGTATAATTTACATGCGATAAAATCCACCCAGTGTAAGTGTGCAATGCAATCACTTTTAGTAAATTCACAGTTGTGCAACCAGCACTGCAATCCAATTTTAGAACATTTTCATCATCCAAAAAAGATCCCTCATGCCCATTTGCAGATAATATTCATTCTCACTCCAGCCCTAGACAATCACTAATCTATTTTCTGTCTCAATAGATTTGCCTTTGCTGGGTATTTCATAAAATGGAATCATATGTAGTCTCTTCTGTCTGGTTTCTTTCATTTTGCATAACGCTTTTGAGGTCAGACAATGTAATAGGATGCATCAGTAGTTTCTTCCTTGCTATTGCCAATTGCATACCACTGTTTGTATGTACCACACTTTGTTTACCCATTCACCAGTTCATGGATATTTGGATTATGTCTACTTTTGGGTTCTTATAATGCCGTTATGAACACACATGTGTAAGTTTTTTGTGTGGACATATGTTTTCATTTCTTTTGAGTAGATACCTAGGAGTAGAATTGCTAGGTTATTTATCTATTGCTTGTAAACTTATGTTTAAGAAATTGTTAACTGATTTCCCAAGTGACAGCACCATCTTACATTCCTATCAGCAATGTATTTGGGTTCTAGTTCTCAACATTGTCAACAACACTTGTTAGTGTCTGTCTTTTATTATAGCCTTTCTAATAGGTGTGAAATGGTATCTCATTGTGGTTTAATTTGCATTTCCCTNTTATTTCTTACCTTTATTTTTTATAAGATTCACACATGCATGCTACTTTGAGAAGGGTGTTATTTCAAGGAATGTGTGTTAATGACATTCTGTAATGCATTTAGAGAAGTGTTTAAAAACATGCAATAAAGATGGTTATAAAAGTTGTAAATGCATGCTACTTTGGAAACAGTGTTATTGCAGGAAATGGATGTCTTACCTTCATTTTTTGAAAGATATTTTTGCTGGATATAGAATTCTTGATTAGCAGTGTAATTTGTTCAGCACTTTGAATATGTCATCCCACTGCCTTCTGGCCTCCATTGTTTCTGATAAGTGAGCTAAGTGAGCTGTTAAATTTACTGTGATTCCCCTGTACTTGATGAGTGTCCTTTGATTGTGATCAGTCATTTTTCTCTTTTAGCTTTAAAGATTCTTTGTTTAGCTTTCAATGGTTTGACCAAGTTGTGTCTAGGTATGGATTATTTTGGTTTTATCCTACTTAAAATTTGCTGAGCATCTTGAATGTGTAGATTAATATTTTTCATCAAATCTGGGATGATTTGGCCATTATTTCTTCAAATATTTTTAATGCCCCTCTCTCCTCTTCTTCTGGGACTTCTATTTGTGCAATGGTATGTTTAAAGGTGTCCCACAAGTCTCTGAGGCTTTGTTCATTTTTCTTTATGCTTTCTCCTCCCTGTTATTCAGATTAGACAATTTCAACTAACCTAGCATCAAGTTTGCTGGTTATTTTCTTTTGTCAGCTCCAATTTGCTATTGAGCCCTTGTGGCTAATTTTTCATTTTCATTATTGTACTATTCAGCTCTATTTTTCCCACTTGGTTTTTCTAATTTCCATCTCTTTACTGATATGCTGTATTTGATGAGTAATTATCATCATACTTTACTTTTATTTTAAAATATAGTTTCCTTTAGTGTTCTGAACATATTTATAATTGCTTCTTTTAAAGCAGCGGTTCTCAACCATCCTAATGCTGTGACTCCTTAATACAGTTCCTCATGTTGTGGTGACTCCCAACCATAAAATTATTTTCATTGCTACTCTATAACTGTAATTTTGCTAGTTATGAATCATAATGTAAATATCTTTTTGTTTTCCAATGGTCTTAGGTGACCCCTGTGAAAGGGTCGTTCGACTCCCAAAGGGGTTGCGACCCACAGGTTGAGAACCGCTGTTTTAAAGTCTTTTTTCTGATAGGTCCAACATCTGCCCCTCCTCACCAACTCCTGAGATAATTTCTATTGGCTACTTTTCCTCCCTCTATAGGGTCATACTTTCCTGTTTCTTTTCATGCCTCTTTTATGTTGAAAACTGAACATTTTATTTATTTAATTATTTTTACTTACTTACTTATTTATTTATTTATTAAAGATTTTATTGGGGAATCGGGGAAGGGGAACAGACAAGTTGCTGTCTTTTTGTTCTTCAGTTAGTTGTGGAGGATGTCGCTTTACTTGACCATGTTGGTATTATCATTGAGCTCTTCCTGGCTGAGGCAGTTGCTCTCTGGCCATTGGATAGCTGCTCACAGAGGCTCACGGCAGCTCATGAAAGCTCACACCTGCATCTGGCCAGCCCCACTGCAGCCTACACCATCGCCGGCAACTCATGGCAACCCAGCTCCAGGTCAAGCTGTTGTTCACCATCTTAGCTGTAGNTTTTTCTCATCCATTCAGCTACCCGTCTTTTGACTAGAGCATTGAATCCATTTATATTTTAAAGTAATCATTGGCAGATATGTAGTTATTGCCATATTATTATTCATATATTTTATCTTTTTTCCATCCTAAAAAAGGCCCTCTAACATTCCTTTGGTAATACTGATTTGGTGTTGATGAACTCTTAACTTTTTCTTGTCTGGGAAGCTCTTTACCTGTCTTTCAATTCTAAATGATAGCTTTGCTGGGTAGAGTAATCTTGGTTGTAGGTTCTTGATTTTCATCACTTTGAATATTGCATGCCAATCCCTCTGGTGATGCAAAGTTTCTGTTAAGAAATCAGCTGACAGTCTTATGAGAGCTCCCTTGTAGGTAACTAACTGCTTTTCTCTTGCTGTTTTTAAGAGTCTCTATCTTTAATCTTTGGTGTTTTAATTATGATGTGTCTTGGTGTGGGCCTCTTTGGCTTCATCTTGTTTGGGACTCTCTGTGTTTCCTGGGCTTTTGTATCTATTTCCTTTGCCAGGTTAGGGAAGTTTTCTGTCATTATTTCTTCAAGTAGGGTTTCAATTCCTTGCTCTTTTCTCCTTCCAGTACCCCAAATGATGTGAATGTCAGTATGCTTAATGTTGTCCCAGGTGTTGTCCCTTAAACTATCCTTATTTATTTTTTTAAATTCTTTTTGCTGTTCTGATTGGGTATTTTCTGCTACCTTATCTTCTAAGTCACTGATTTGATCTTCTGCTTCATCTAATCTACTGTTGATTCCTTCTAATGTACTTATTTCAGTTATTTTATTCTTCATTTCTAACAGGTCATTTTTATTGTTTTCTATCTCCATTTTTATGTTTCCTATCTCTTTGTTGAAGTTCTCCCTGAGATCACTGAGCATCCTTATAACCAGTGTTTTGAACTCTATGTCAGATAGATTGCTTTTCTCCATTTTGTGTAGTTCTTTTTCTGGAGCTTTGTTCTGTTCTTTTATTTGTTTCTTTGACTCCCCATTTTGGCTTCCTCCCTGTGTTTCTTTTTATGTATTAGGTAGGGCTGCTGTGTCTCCTGGTCTTAGTAGAATGGCCAGGTGTGCTGTTGCGCCCAGTGGCACAGTCTCCCTGTGCTCCAGGTGTGTCCCTTGTGTGAGTTCTGTGTGCCCTTCTGTTGTAGTTGAGCCTTGTTTGCTGTTTGCACATCAATGGGAAGAATTGACCCTTGGGCTGATTGGTTGTAAGGACTGGCCACTACTTAATTGGAGGACCTTCTGTGCAGGGGCTGATCCTACAGAGAAGGATTTGCTTTAGAAGGGCTCTGGTGCCTGCCTAGTCTGCCCTTTGGGTATGTCATCCTTAGAGGCATTTGGGTGATGCTCCTGCTCAGTCTGAAGGTGGCCACAGGGCATGCCAGCTCTGGGGCTTCCCAGGAGGGGCCAAGTTCAACCACAGCCTTTGCCTGGCCTATGCCACCTGGCATAAGCCACAATGCAATCCACAGATGGCCGCCACCTGTGCTGGGCTTGGCGGTGCCTTAAGAAGCCAAGTCACAAACCGAGGCTAGCTGTTTGCTAGTGCCAGGCTTGGGGCTTCTCAGCAAGATGTACAGAACACACCAAAGTTGAAGCCAGATGCGACTTGTTTGGGTTTTGTGAACTTTTGAGAGATTTTAGGAAAGTCCACAGCATGAACTAAGACAGGCCATTTGTATGGAAAAGCCAATTGAAGTGGCTTGGGTGTGCCCAAATGTTTGGTGGGGTGGGGCTTCAGGGAATCATCAGGGCGGGGCAGAGTTAGGTTGATGGAGACTCAGCTATGACAGCTGCCTAAGTCTGTATGCTGGGAGAAGTTAGGGCTCAAAGAAACGATGGATTGTGCCAGCACATCTGTCTGGGAGTAAGCTGCCATTGCCCTGAAGCCAGACAATTCAGTTCCTCCCTGTATCCTCTGGTGCCTTTTGAGCTGCTGCCCTAGTGCTGTAGCTCAGAGCAAGTGAGTCTATCAGCAAGTAAGTCTGTGCACAGGCCCTTTAAGAGGAGTGACTGGGACTCCAGCTACCCTTGTCTCACCCAGACACAATCTCTGCTGGTTTTCACAGCTAGAAGTTATGAGGACTTCTCTCACCAGCACTGGAACCCTGGGCTGGGAAGCCTGGTGTGGGGATGGGACCCCTCACTCCTCGGGGGGTACCTCCAAAGCCAAGCTATCCCTCCTGGTTTTTAACTGCCACACACAGTGTG